GCGGTAATAATCATGCACCCCTCAAGGGGAGAAGGGTCGGGGGAAAACCAACCGTCATATGCTTCGCAGGAGCCGTCCCCGCAATCTATAGGAGCGAACTGGCCTATGCAATTCCCCCCAGCGGCTCCTCCTCGGGGTGCCCGAAGGCTGTGCCTGCTGCATCGCGGTGATCGTGGGGGCCTCCATAGAGAGAAGCCGAAGACGCACATTGAAGCGATTCGCTTGAGACATCTCGACCCTGGACGCGAACACGCCCGTGTGACATCCGCTGTTGGACCCCCCTGGGATGCAAGTATGAGTGTGAGCGGCGCGTCCCAGGGGCGGTGAGTCTGAGTGTGGGGGAGTCTGCACATCTCCTGGTCTGGGTATGAATGAGCTTGAGTGTGTTTGTCTAAGCGTCAGTGACTGAGCGAGAGCGTGTAAGAATGCGAATGAATCTGATTGTGAGTGATTATGAGTGAGTATGAGTACGAGTGCGTGTGGGCCTGATTATGAATGATTATCTGTGCGAGTGGGTCTACACGTGAGTGAGTCTGAATGTTGGTGAGTCTGGGTGTGAGAGTCAGAGTGTGAGGAAGCCATGTCTGCGTGATATGAGTATGGCCGAGTCTTGAACGCTTGTGCATCTGAGCAAGAGTGGCCCGATCTTGAGTTGATCTGAGTGTGATCGGGCAAGCATGCGGGAGTCTGTATGCGAGGTTGGGTGTGGACGGTCTGTGCACAACAGGGATGAAGAGGGTGGCAGGGAGGCGGGACGGAGGAAGGAGACATCACACTAATGACAAGAACCTCATCATTATAATACATGGCAAAACACGGTATGCTGACGGATGCGGCAAGTCCAGTCAATTCAATAATGTTCGGATCAGCGCACCTCGCATTAAGGACTCGAACTCGGGCTGCGCCCGACACCAACCCTGATACCGCCAAACATCACGCGTATACTAGTTGGTGTATGATGACTAGATCCGGATGTAGGGTTGCAGTGGGGCAATTTGCGAGCGAGCGTGCGTGATATCAAATCGCCAAACCAAGCCACGTTATCTGGGATTACTCGGCATCGGTGTCACACTGCAAGTTGCTGCAGCAGCCTACCGATCTGAGCAGCGGCACCTCTAGCCAGAGAGGGGTGTTGCCATCTCCGATTCCAGAGGTTGTGCAGAGAAACGGTTGATAAGGGCCGGCGGCAGTTTCATGCGCTCACTGCTTGACAACAACTCGATCATTTGTGACCCGAAGGTGGGATCATGCCTCAAGTAGGCGCTAAAATGGGGCAGCCCATCGAGCCACCCAACGAACGCAGCAGACGGTGCAAAAGACCCATTATCTCCATAAAGTTCGACTGCGAGGTTCACCAAGTCTTGCGAACTCACGCGGCCGTGTTCTGCCCCAGTTGAAAGTGCACGTTTCAGAGCTTCCTTTGCGGCACCCTCTGACTGCTCCCCAGACCTGATCTGCACGTTCCTCCAGGCGTCCACAAGCACTAATATGGACCGCCCGAATGTAGATGATGCGACTTTCTCTGAAAGTGTGGTGATTCGTAAAATCCTCATCCGGGATATGGTATCGATTAAGTCGGCACCTGGGCTTGCCACATACACACTGAGAATGATGACAAGAACAGTGCCCATATACGGTCCGGTGGTCTTTCCATTCATGCGATCAAGGTCGTTCCACACAAGGACGCCGGTGACCGTGTTGAGCACAAGCTGCATAGATAGCTGCATTGGTACATACGTAGATGCGTCGCACGCTGCAGGAGCCTTGGCAGATAATCCAAGAATATATACCGATAGCAACCCATACGCTGCAAATGCTAGATATAGTGAGGCTCCTGACATCAATCCAAATGTGGAGGCGGCGTTATCTGTCCCAGACCCTAATGCGCCGATGTGCGAAGCCCAGACAAGGGACTTCGTAATCGAATCTGGGGATTGTTCAGATGTCGCGTATATGCCAAAGCCTGAAAGGAATATGAGAGCACCTAGGCAGACAAAATAGGTAATGGCAGGTGCAGCTGTGAATAATTCTACCACGTTCACATCATCACCGCGGGGATCTGGACCAACTTCGTCAAGCAGAAACATCACGGCAACGAAGCAAAGCAGAGTGCCGACTCTCATGGACTTCGTGTATACACATATGCCTAAACATATCTGAAGGGCCATGTTCCACAACAAGTTGGATGCTACCAAGGCCCCCTGCAAAAAAGGCACCGGATCTCCCATTGCATATGCTGCAGTGGAGATCAAACCACCGACAACATAGGTACAAAATGCTCCACCATCAAGGGAGAGCTGCTTCGCGGGTGTCAATTCTATTCCTGTCTGCTTGCTCCGATGCGCAGCATAAGATACCGCATTCGCAGCCAAGGCATATATTGTGCCAGCCGCAACGGCCATTGGCAAGCCAAGGCCGACCATCGCGACAAGTTGTTGACCTTGCGCCAAAGATAGTGTCTTGAGTGAATATCGGCTTGACCCACTATTCATACAGACTTCATCTGCTGGACAGATGCTGCCAACATCAGCGGTCACACATGGGATGGGGGTGGGCTGGGACACATCTCGAGGCATCCAAGAGACATATGCCCTGTGAGGCATCTGGGACATGTGGAGACATCTTAAGGCCATCCTAGAAGCATCTCTCCTCGGAAGCACCAGGTTCCACAAGGACGCATCTGGAGGCTTCTGGAATTGAGCATGCATTCGGGAAAACACTAGAACATCTCCCCATCACTGAGATGCTGATGGATCCACCTGGAAGCAGTTGAAGGAAGGCCGCCGAGGTCGCCAAGACGGCCCGATATATCGCCTCAAGAGGGACCCAAGAGCTCCCAAGAAGACTACAAGAGCCGCCCAAGAAGCCCCAAGGTCTTCGACGACGCCAAAGAGACCCTCTGACAAGCCCAACAGCAATGAAAAGCCGAAGGCATATTTCACGTTTTTTATACTTTGCCCCACCCCGGCCCTCCAGAGGACCCCAAGAGAGCCCGATACTGCCCAAGAAGGCCCCAGGACAGCCCAAGAGAGAGAGCCTCGGGCGAAGCCAAGGATTGCCAAAGAAGGCCCCAGGACAGCCCAAGAGAGCTCAAGGAGGGCTCCAAGACGGCCCCAAATACCCAGACATCCCAGCAGGGCCCACGATAGCCCAAGATTGCCCCGACACGGCCCAAGAGGGCCCCGAGACGACCCGAGAGGACCCCGAGCAACCCCTGTGACGACCCAGGTAGGCTTAATTTGCCGCGGGCAGCTGGAGAGCGGCGACCACGAGCTCCATCTTGCGGCCAAAGCGTCACAACATGGTGGCTGCAAGCCACAGGCAGAGTGAGACAGTGGGAGCCGAGGGATGTGGATTGCGGTGGGGGCATGGGTGTGGGTGGGCCGTGGAAAAGGGCAGAGTGGAACCCTAGGGTTGTGGTACAACATGCATTGCTGTGCGAAACACCGTGGCACGTCTGAAACGTATTCACGCACGCGGGATTTTTTTACGCAGGAGTGAAGGACTCGCCGCGGCAGACCAAGCGAATCCAGACAGGCACGTAATCGCGCCGAACTCGGCGCCGATCCTCCGACCCCTTCGGGGTCTCCGGGCGCGTGAAACTCTCTCCTCTATTTCCATCCCGCCGGGCCGAAAATTGCGCAGATTCGAGAAACGGAGGGGAGGGAGGCGAATCGGGCTCGTTCCCAGACCGCTCCCGCTGCCTTCTGGAGCGCCCAGGAAGCTCTTTGGGCCTCAGGTGGCGCCCAGGGCTGCACCAGGGAGGGCAAGCAAATGCCCAGAAGGAAGGGCTCCAAGATGGAAGGATCAAGTATGAGCACGGCATTACGCTGCGGAGGAGGAGGAGGAGGAGGAGGAGGAGGAGGAGGAGGAGGAGGAGGAGGAGTGAGGTCAGCCGCCCGCCGCCTTCCACGACGGGGGCTCCACCAGGCAGGAGGCCGGCGCCGACACTCCTGGCCGAGGCCGGGCGCGGCACTCCGGGCGCGCGCGAGCACACGCCCGACGTGCTCCTCCGCTCTCGGGGCCTGTTCTGCCGTGCTCCTGATATTTTTCTGCCGTGCTCCTTAGCTTTCGGGGTCTATTCTGCTGTGCTCCTGGTCTTTCTCTGCCGTGCTCCTTCGCACTTGGGGCCTATTCAGCCCTGCTCCTTAGCTCCTGGGGTCTATTCTGCCGTGCTCCTGGTGTTTTTCTGCCGTGCTCCTTCGCTCTTTGGGGCCTATTCTGCCTTGCTCCCGGTCTTTTTCTGCCTGCTCCTTAGCTCTTGGGGTGTATTCTGCCGTGCTCCTGGTCTTTTTCCGCGGTGCTCTTTCGCTCTTGGGGTCTATTCTGCCGTGCTTCTTTGCTCTTGGGGTCTATTCTGCCGTGCTCCTGGTCTTGTTCTGCCGTGCTCCTTCGCTCTTGGGGCCTATTCTGCCGTGCCCCTGATCTTTTTCCGCCGCGCGAGCCCAGAACGACCGCCGCGACGATCCGCACGGCAGAATACAGGAGCACGGCAGAACACACAGGGCACACAGAGGCACGGCAGACCACAGAAGCACGGCAGAACAGGAGCACGGAAAAAACACACAGGAGCACAACAGAACACCCCCCGCACGCACGCCGACACGCGCGCCACGGCATACCTGTGCGGCGTAACAACAGCAGAGCATATCCCACATGCTTGGTGGACTGGGCGACGCTTCCCGTTCTTGTCCGGTCAGGTTCCCCCAAACAGTCCTCACAAAATTGAGCTCTTCGCGACATCGCGTTTAACAAGAACAAGAGTTTCGCTCGAGACATCCTCGAAAAGCTGATGACCGCGAAATTTCGCCGTCTGGAAAATGTGCGTTTCGCTCGAGACATCCTCGAAACAATGAGATGTCGGAAAAGTTGCTTCACTACCTCTCATATAACAATGGCGATTTCGCTCGGGACATCCTCAGAAAATCGGGAGGGGCGCGGCAGACCGAAAAAAGGAGCAAGGCAGAAAATTATAATTTCGCTGGGGATATCCTCAAAAAATGAGACGTGAGCAGCATCGCCTCGACATCGTTCTCGAAGTGCTTCACAGCGTGATGATGTGTTTGCAACCCTTGTCTGGAGTGGTGGCCGCCGTGTGGTCGTCCCCTCCGAGGAGGCCACCCACTGGGACCTTTGTCTTGTGCAGCCACCTCATGAAGATGTTGAGGTATTTCGTGTTCTGGGCTGTGCGGCCATGCACAATTTTGACCTTGACCTCATTGTGGAAGGTCATCCATGCTGGTTTGGCCAGCCTCGTAGCCTCGGCGTCCAACGCAAGCCCGTTGCCCTGTGACCACGAGCCCACGTGCCGCCGCTGTTGATCTCCGTAAATTACAGATCAGCGCACCCACGCCCTGCGCGACTCGCCCTCGCCTCCACGAGGAAATTAGTCCGATGCCGCTGCCACCTGGGGATTTGGACCAAAGTGTGGTACCCAGCCTGAAGCAGGTCAAACTTCTGGCCGAGCGTGTTGGCGAGATGCGGGTCACCGATGCCCTTGACCATTGGGCCGCTGTTGATGGGCGGTGCCGCTGGTGCAGACGTCGGGCTGGTCGTCGGGGACGCGGTCGGACTGGAGGTCGGGCTGCTCGTCGGGGCCTCAGTCGGCGATGGCGTCGGACTGGACGTCGGGGGCGCCGTCGGAGTCGGCGTGGGGCTGTCCGCTGGGCTGGCCGGCTCGGTCCCGAAGACGCGCACGTGACCAGACCATTCAGGTGCTCCAATGGCCACGCGGCTGCCGTCGCTGCTCAGCGACACCGAATAGCCACCGTGATTGTATGAAGCTTCGCCATCGATGTCCTGCCCCACCTGGCTCCAAGTGTTGCCCGAGAGCTCGAAGACGCGAACGTGACCAGAATCTGTCCCGGCACCGCCGAGCAAAAGTGCTCCAATGGCCACGCGGCTGCCGTCGCTGCTCAGCGACACCGAATAGCCACTGTGATCGTATGAAGCTTCGCCATCGATGTCCTGCCCCACCTGGCTCCAAGTATTGCCCGAGAGCTCGAAGACGCGAACGTGACCAGTCCATGTCCCGGCACCGTCTTTAGAAGGTGCTCCAATGGCCACGCGGCTGCCGTCGCTGCTCAGCGACACCGACCAGCCACTGTGATCGCCTGCAGCTTCGCCATCGATGTCCTGCCCCACCTGGCTCCAAAATGTCCCCTTCACCATGTGGTCAGCCGCCTCGACCTGGCGTCGTCCTTTCTGCTGGCTGGTGTTCATGTGGAGCACCACGGAGGTCAGTGTAGACACGCTCTGCTGCGAGGCGTTGCCCCTGTCCACCATCAGCCCAAGCTGCATCATGGTGGAGTCGGCGGGGCCGGCGGCGACGGGGGCCCCGACCAGGCTGGCCATGACCAAGAAATGCGCCATCTGCGAATCAAGGGAGCCAATCAGAGGTTCTAAGGTGTCCAAACTTGCTCAGGCCCAAGTAGAGCCCAACGCTCTTGAGCCAAAATGGCGATGGCGGGCTCTGCGGGCCGTCTTGGGGCGATCTTGGAGGCCTCTTGGGCCGCCTTGGGTGGTCGAGGGGAAGAGAACGCTAAACTTCTTCCAAAACTTGGACACAATGATTTGTGCCTCTTGGCGCACTCTTCGGGGGCCTTCTCGGGTCGTCTGGGAGGCTCCCCGAACCGTGTTGATGCAATGATGGGCTGTCCCTGGGCGTCTTCGAACCCGCCACGGCGGCCCAGACGGATTCGTGGGTGACTTGGGCCGGCTCAGGGGGCCTCTTCGGGCTGGCGCGTCCAGAAGCCCCCGGAGCCGTCCAAAGCCCCCCAAGGTCCCCCACAAGGGACCGCGGCACCACACCCGCCCTACTCTTAAGTCGGGCCTGTCCCCCTACAGGGGGATTTTGGACGACAAAAACAATACTCCAAAAATGCTCCAACAATGCCCAACAATTGACACAAAATAGTCCCCAGACTATTTTTTGGCTATGTTTGAATATTCCCCCTGTAGAGGGACAGGCCCGACTTAAGCGTATTCCGACATATCTACTTTTTGATAGTTACACTATCGGTGGGCTGCGACCGCCACCAAGACAAGACCCCCAGATCCGTGGCCCAGGGGCCCGTGGACGCCCCTGCAGAAAGTCCCCCGTGCTTTCCGAGGCTCCTGGAAGCCTCTGCTGGGCCTGAGCACCAAGCCCGAATCGGCCAGGAGGGCGGCCGAACGGCCCCGCGAGAGCACCGCGGGGCTCCAGACACCCACCAGACGCCCGAAGACAACCTAAAGAAGACCCCCAAGAGGCCTTGGAACCGCGAATAGCTATGGTTTCCCACTGGTTGTGCATGACTGTGGACATATTTTTGGGTCTTCTGGGCGTCCGAACCCGCTCAGGAGGCCCGCGCATCATCCAAAACCTACCCAAAAGGGCTTCGAGGCAGTCCAGGAGAGCCCCAAGACGGCCCCACAGGGCCCCAAGATGGTTCGAAGAGAGCCACATGACGGCCCCAAATGGCCCCAAGACGCACCCCTAAGCTCTGCAAATCGTAGCCCGATCGTTCAGGGATGCCGTGGTTGGAAGCAGGGCGGCCCGAGGAAGCCCCAAGAGGCCCCCAGGAGGCCCCCCCAAGGCCCCCCCAACGCCCTTAAACACTTTGATGAAGTCCCCCAAAGTCCCTCCAAGAAGGAGCTGAGAAAGGACAGGAAGATACTGGCAGGGTAAAGCGATGAGGAGCATGAAGAAGCATGAAGTAACGATACATGCTGACATTAGTGTAACGAATATTCCAGAACATACAACCATACATGATCGCAAATCGTATGTGTTATCTACCTGCCATTCCGCCAGCATGCCACACTTCAGGGACCCAGATGCAAGGCGCGAAGCGCCCATGCAGCTTTGTGTGTATGCATGTGTGTATGTATGTATGTATGTGTGCATGCATGCATGCATGCATGCATGCATGTATGTATGTATGTATGTATGTATATGTATATGTATATGTATATGTATGAATGTATATGTGTGTATGTATGTATGTATGCATGCATGCATGCATGCATGTATGCATGTACGTATGTATGTATGTATGTATGTATGTATGTATGTATGTATGTATGTATGTATGTATACGTGTATGTATGTATGTATGCATGCATATATGAATGTATGTGTGTATGTATGTATGTATGTATGTATGTATGTATGTGTGTATGTGTGTATGTATGTATGTATGTATGCATGTATGTATGTATGTATGTACGTACGCACGTACGTATGTATGTATGTATGTATGTATGTATGTATATATGTATGCATGCATGTATGTATGTCTGTATGTATGTATGTATGTATGTATGTATGTATATATGCATGCACATGTATGCATGTGTTGCTGAATCCATGTATGCGCATGTGTGTGCATGTACATATGTATGTACGTTTGCAGGCCTGTGTGTATGTATGTACATGGTTATGTATGTACGCATGCATACGCATACGCATCTATATGTGTGCGCCCCCCTATGATCATACAGTTCACCTTCTCTCTTCCTTCCCCTTTTCTCCTCCTCATGATCATCCTCATCCCTCTCCCCATTCCCATCATTCCCATTATTTTCATGATCCTTCTCATTATCATCATTATTCCTTATTATGTTGCCTCCTCCTTACGAGAGAGCCAAGGGGGAGCCATGAGGGGGATCACAAATGCGATGTCCCTTCGATGTCCTCCTCTCTCCTCACCCATCTCTCCCTCATGGCTCCCTCCATCCATCCTGTCCGCTCTCTCTTCCTCATCCTCCTCCCTCTATCCATCCTGTCCCCTCTCTCATCCCCTTCCTCTCCTCATATCCCCCCGCCCCTATCTTCTACCCGCCCCCTTCTCCCCCCTTCCCCTCATCCGCCTTTTGGTTCCGAGTGCGACCCAATATAGCCAGTATCATATGTTACTTTTGTTTACTTTGGAGCTTGCGGGAGAGGAAGAAGGAGAAAGTGTGAGAGAGAGAGAGAAAGAGGGAGAATAGATCAGGTCCGTGGGTAAACTGGCTCAAAAGCTTATCCTCGGATATCGCTGCACGCCATCCCTGTCCACAGGGTGTTTTTTGATCACGGGTGGTGTGGCGCACGTCGGCGCTGGGGGTGTTGCTCGGCTGGGTCCTCAGTTCGCTGAGCGCCCCCTCACAGCAGAGCGCCCGGGCGAGCTCCCCAGCGCACCTCCGTTTGTCCCAGCCATCCTGTGCTGTTGCGTCCTCGTTCTGAAGAGCCAGCGCCCCGCGTTCCTCACCTCCTCCCCCCCCCTCCCCCCATCCCCCCTCACACGTTTCGTGGCCCCATAGGGAGATCCATCGAAGGCCCCAGCGGCAAGGTCCGCATGGCGGCCCCGCACCAGATTCAACACAACCCTCCCACGCTTCGTGGCCCCATAAGGAGCTGCAGTGGAGGCCCCATTAGCAAGGTCCGCATTGTGACCCCGCGACCATTCCGGCACACCACTCACAAATTTCGTGGCCCCAGGGGAGCTCCACCAACAGCCCCAGCGGCAGCGTCCGCATGGCGGCCCCGCACTCGATTCGGCACACCCCTCACACGTATCTTGGCCCCATAGGGAGCTGCAGCGAAGGCCCCAGCGGCAGGGTCCGCATGGCGGTCCCGCACCATTTTCGGCACACTCCTCACACGTTTCGTGTCCACATCAGGAGCTCCACTCAAGGCCCCATCGCCAGGGTCAGCATGGCGGCCCCGCGCCCGATTCGGCACACCCCTCACACGCTTCGTGGCGCCATAGGGAGCTCCACCGAAGGCCCCAGCGGCAGGGTCTGCATGGCGGCCCAGCACTCGATTTCGGCACACCACACGCTTCGTGCCCCATAGGGAATCCCACCGAAGGCCTCAGCGGCAGGGTCCGCATGGCGGCCCCGCACCATTTCGGCACACACCTCGCACGCTTCGTGACCTCATGAGAAATTCCACGGAAGGCCTCAGCAGCAGGGTCCGCATGGCGGCCCCGCACCCGACTCGGCACACTTCTCACACGTTTCGCGGCCCTAGAAGGAGCTCCACAAGGCCTCAGCAGCAGGGTCCGCAAGGCGGTCCCGCACCCGTTTCGGCACAACCCTCACACGATTCGTGGCTCCAAGGGAGTCCCTCCGAGAGCTGCACCAGCAAGGTCCGCATGGCGGCCCCGCACCATCTCGGCACACCCCTCACACCGTGGCCCCAGAAGGAGCTCCACCGGAGGCCCCAGCGGCACGGTCCGCATGTCGGCCCCGCACTTGATGCGGCACATCCCTCACACGTACGTGGCCCCATAGGGAGCTGCAGCGAAGGCCCCAGCGGCAGGGTCAGCATGGCGGCCCCGCCCCATTTCCGGCATACCACTCAAACGTTTGGTTTCCCCTCCTTCGTCCCACCTGCCTTGTGGCACTCGTACTCGCAAATGGTAGGGTCCGTCGCCCGGACAATGTTTGTTTGTTCTCTCTGTCTGTCTCTCTCTTGCTCTCTCTCTCTCTCTGTCCCTCTTGTTTTTTTTTCTCTCTCTCTCTCTATCTCTCTTTCTCTCTCTGCGCACATCCTATCTGCAACTGGACACCCATGCTCTGTCAACCGCGCAGGGCCAGGCCCCTCCGTGACAGCAAGCTCATCTCGTCGAAATTGGACGGCATCTCGTTGTTGCTCTGGTAGAGCGGGTAGGTGGTGTGGTACTGGTCCTGGCGCCCTCCAGTCAATCTGACTAACGTGCTCTCACCTCCCTGCTCATCCTTCGTTCCCCCTGCTCCTGCTTCCTGATGCTCCTGCTGTTCCTTCTAACGCTGCTCGTCGTGTTCGGCCTGCTTCCCCCACCTCTACCTCCTCCTCTGCCTCCCCTGCCCCGTCCTAATCCTCCCTCCCCCCTCCGCTCTTCCCCGCCCACCTTGCTTCTCGTGCGCCCCCGCGGGCCGTCCCTCCCCTCCCATTCCCACCCCGACCCTCTCCGCCTATCTTTTCGCCCGCTCTGCAAGAGCTAAGCAACCATTCTGTGAACGAGCGCGGTTGCCGCCCAGCCAACCCATCGGGGAGATGGAGGCGCAAGAGAAAGGAAATGGTAGAGGACGGGGGTTGGGAGGAAGCGGAGGAGGATGACGAGGAGGATGAGGTGAGGGAACCCAAGGAGGGGGGAAGGAGGAGGAGGAGGACCGAGCGACCTGAAGGGGGCCGCGAGTTTTCCGCGGGCGGAGGGCGCGGCCGCGCCTATGCGCCAGACGCGCGGGATGCCGCTTTCAGAGACTCGAGCGCGGCGAAGGGCGAAGTGCCGAAACCGCTGGACTCATCGTTGGAGTCCTGGTGGGTGCCGAGCTCGTCACTGAATGCGCCAAAATTGTAGTCGTCAACATTGTCGACCATGCCGTACGGGTCGACGGCGTCCGAGGTGGGCTGGGCCGAAGAGCCTAGGATACATAACACCCCGCAGTTGCGGATAAGAGTGAGGAGGCGGAGAGGACGTCGGCAGTCTGCGAGGCTCTGAATAAGCCCGCCGCAGGCGCGTAAGTCTTACAACTCATGCAGTGAGGCCGCCGCAAGCGCCGATTCTTTCGTTAAAGCCATGTGTTTGGGTCGCGGGGTGGGTCGCGGGTGGGTCGCAAACGGGTCGCGGGAGGGTCGCGGGTGGGTCGCGGGCCGGGTCGCGGGTGGGTCGCCGGTGGGTCGACAGTGGGTCGCGGGTGGGTCGTGGGCGGGTCGCGGTGTGGGTCGCAGTTGGGTCGCGGGCGGGTCGCGGGGTGGGTCGCGGTTGGGTCGCGGGTGGGTCGCGGGGTGGGTCTTGGGTGGGTCGTGGGTGCATCGCGGGGCGGTCGCGGGGGGGACGACGACGACGACGACGACGACGACGACGACGACGACGACGACGACGACGACAACGACAACAACGACGACGACAACAACAACAACAGCAATCCGCACCGCAGAACCTCACTTCAGCCACGCGCCCAAGGAGTTGAATGTCCGTTCGGCCCCCTCATTCTGATCTTGTAGTGGTTCTTGCAGAGAAACTTGGGCAGGAAACGAGGTCGCCCCGTCGGTGGTAAATGGAACGTCCATCTCGATATAACTCTGGGGGTACGCGAAGAAATTCGCCGCATCGACGCTCCCGGCATTAGGAACGACAAGCGACGGGCAGGTGTACTCTGTTTCTGCAACGGCGGCGGGGGGCGCGGAGTCTGAATCTCCTGCCACCCCGAAGGTTCTCGTATTGCCCACGAAGAAGGTCGTGCCGCTGCTCCGGTTCTTGTTCTGGAAGAGCCCGCAGCTGGTTGATCATCGCCGCGAGCTTGTCACTACCAATCGCCCACATAACGGGATGCAAATCCTGCGCCTGCGTGTGCAGCAACTCGCTGCACTCCTCGTCGGTGGCGCGGTCGAAGGTGGTCGACAAAGAGTTGCTGTGGCTGGGGGCGCATAGATAAGGCGCGCCAGTCCCCCTGAAAACCTATTTCGCAATCGTTACAAGTGTGGTCCGCCGCGCCTCTCACCTCTCCCGTCCTCATAACGGCAAAACATCTTCTGCCATCGCCGCGCCACGCAGTTTCAGACAGCGGAGCATCGATGAGAGAGTCAACCTCTGAAACCATGCTTCCAGGCAGGCCCACTTTCTTCGAAGCAAGCGAAGGCGCAACCACGTGCACTGTGACGGACGACGAAAGTGACCGCGAGGAAGCTGCCGCTGTCCGAGGCGGCCGCGTCCGAGATTAGCGCATGTGGATATTGTGTGGCAGTCACACTGTTGGTGGCAATCTCCGCGAGAGGTGGCTGGCGCTCAGGACCGCCGTGGCCAACTGGCCGAGTAGCTGGCAGAGGGCGCCTGGTAGGGCCAAAACCTTCATGTGTCTCACAGCGGTACTATACCTGTTCTCGGCACGGAACGCATAACGTGTTGGCCATGTTCCGGTTCCGTTGCTGTGCAGCTCTCGTCCACTCAAACGCACAAATGACCTATGCTCGAAGCCACCTCCTGTCGGAAAGTGACGCTGAGGGTGGCGTGGGGTGGGGTGGAGTGGGGAGTGATGTGTTTGTGTGCGCGCGTGAGTGCGTGTGTGTGTGTGTGTGGTGCGTGTGTGCGGGGGGTTGGGCGGGGCGGTGGAGGGTGGGGCGCCGCATCCAATGCCAGCAGGATCGTAGAAGTCGGATGGCGAGGTAGACACATCGCGATCACCCGTCTCCATCTTGTCGCCAGTTGGGGTGCCCGTACTCTTGGCGAAGATCTCGGCAATGTCGCTAAAGTGACTCGACGGCACGGCGCCAAGCGTCGTTTGACTCGAGGATCAACCGCCGCCAGACCGAGCCGCGGGAAGCACGGCTGCGGGCGCAGGACAAGAAATTTGCCCAGCAAGGGGACCAGGAACATCACCATATTCCCCTGCCGTAGCAGAGCCGAGCCACGTCTGAGGACGAAAGGTGCCAACGTGCCAGTCCTGATCTACGTCGCCCATGACTTCGCCATCGAAAAGAATTGGTTCCGCATGGGACATCTCCGCCTGTCCTTCCATCGACTCGATGTCCACGCCCGAAGGGCAAGGGCAGCCGGAAGAATCCACGCCGCGGTTGTCAGGCGCCGTAGAATAGCCGCCAGAAGAGCGCCCGTCTGGCCCCCATGTCTCGCAGGGCCCACGTCGTCGAAGGGCGCGTCCTCCTCGGGGATGTCGCCGAGAGGGTGGGGCAGGAAATGTGCCTCGGAATCGAGCGGGGGTCGCTTCTTCGGAGGCCCCCCGCGGTCACCTCGCCCAGAACGCTGCATCTCTCGTGCCACGTCATGCGAAAAAGGATCGGGGGCCCACCCCCTCGGCCGGAAATGTTTGCGGGCCCGAATCCGCGTCGCATCGAGCCCTCCGTCGTCCCCGTCGGGCAGGCGCTGTCGCAGCCATTCCAGCGGAATCGCAAACGACTGCCACCCAGCCAGGCGAATCTCCTCAGCCAGGGCACCCGAGGACTAGGAGCAATATCTAAAAACGGCTCGAAATCCTCATGTAGCAGCAGGTCCGCAGCATGGGGCGCGCGCCAGATCATCCAGCTGTCGCAGCCCGCCCCAGCGGCGCCCCAGTTTTGCCCCCCCACATGGAGATCATATCAGCCATGTCGCGCGTGGTTTTTTAATTCATGACGGGGTAGATGGCGCGGGCCACTGCGCCGCTGGGGGCGGGGCAAACCGATTGGGAAATGGGGGGGGGGTTCTCGGGGCAATGAACCACCACCATCGCTAGAAGACGACCCATCAACCCGCGGCCCTGTGAACATTTCGTCGTTGCAATCGCATTGGGGCGGCGCTGCGCCCTGGCGAGGAAGGACCGCGGGTCCGCGACCTTTCCCAGATAACGCAGGAACCAGGCTGCTACAATGGGGAACAGCTGCGCGAGCTGGATGACGACGACGGTGACGAAGCCGACGAAGGGGAAAGCGCGCGCCTCGCTCGCGCGAGCGAGAGGCTCTCGAGCAAGTTGTGGATGGCCACCGCGTCGTCGTCGGGGGGGGGAGGGCGCCCCGCCCCGCCCCCAAGCCGTGGCCAGGACGACGGCAGCGGGCTTCGCTCCAGGCCGCCAGGGTGGAACGGCCAACGCCTTGAACTTGATCGCCGCCTTCGCCGCTTTCTGCAGTTTGTCCACAAGCACTGAGTTCCTATGGCGGACGACGTGGTGGAGCGGGCGGACGCGCAACAGTCGATCCAGTGAATCGGCCATAGGCTGCAAGGCGCTCCATCCCACTAAGGGATCCGCATATAGGAATCCTCTTCCTCTAGACCTCGCCATGGCGGGGGCCCGCAAAAACCTCGGGCTGACAAGCGACTGCGGCATATAATCGCGGCAGTCTTCGCAACCCACGACGCGTGCAGTCTCGCACTCGGCGCGCGGAGTCCTCCGCGACGTCGCCCGCCCGCCGGCAAGTGAGCGAAACTGCGCGCGAGCCTGGGCAATCGGCGTGGCACCATCATCTGCTGGATAGTCCACCAGGGGGCCGTTGCCAGGTCGCCAGCGCGGTCGGGGGGCCATTCGGTCCATCTTGGAGCTGGATGGCGCGGTCGGGGGCCTCCCACAACTTCCAGCGATGCCGGCGATCCATGATCGCAGAGTAGACAGTCGCCTGGTCGAACTTGACACTTGCAGTCGCTCGCCTTGAGATCCTTGACTGCCTGGGCTGCGGGTAGCGCGTCGACGCGTGTGGCGTGGTCGAGTAGGCCCTCGTAGGATCGGCATGATGCGAGCGCGATCGGCTGGGCATGTTGGAAGTTTGCTAAGCGGCTGTTCCAGACTGCACAGCTCAACTTCCTGGCGGCAGTGGGCGAGATAGTCACGCTACTTGCTGCAGGTGATAAGTGTCGACCTGATCAGCGCGGCTTGGACTTGCGCCCTGGCAGAAAGCAGCTCGGGCCCCCCCAATCGCGAAATAAGGCGTCGGCAAGGGGTCGGAATTGCCGCCGGCGCGTCTGCGGAGCCTCCCCAGCTGATGCATCGTCGTTCTAGAGCTTTCCATGCAAGGGAACCAGCTGCGCAATGTAACCGCCGTGGGATGGCCCCTGCATTGAAAACACATGCGCGGGTGCTCAGGGGCGCGGCCGTCGCCGCTTACGCAGAAACTCAAACCTTGAACTTGCCCCATGCCGCTGTCCAGATGACCTCCTTAGACGCCGCGAGCCCCGTCCAGAATCCCAGATGCACGAGGGCGTCCGTGACCGCGAAGGCCCGCC